TCTATAGGTTTCTTCACCATACTTATACATTCAGATATTCTACCATACTTATGTTATACTTATGTTATACATTCAGTTGTTAGAACCACTTCAAAAACTTAGTACTTTGACATGATAGGAATTGAAAGTTCGACAATTTAATAACCTCATTTCTTAACCAAAATCCAGCCATAAAATGCGAAAAAACACCGCGCAGAAGTGAAAGGCCTCGAACCATTTCATCTTCTTCAGATCTTACCTCTCTTACTAAGAGGTTTACACAATTTTTTGTTGGAGTGTATGTGAATTATTTTCAGTATTTATGGAATCAAACATGTGTTTATTTTGGACACTTTGAAACTCAAAAATACACATCTAATATGCTACTTTGCCCCTCAAAATAAGGGAAAGGGATCCTCTCCTGATCCCTTCCTCCTAATCCACCAAATCAGGGAATTCGTGCTGATGAAATTTGATCCAACGACTACAAATAGGAGCCCACTTTAATGGAGCATTTACTTAACCGTAATCAAAATTGGAGGAATTGGATTGAGGAGAAATTGAATTGAAGAGATATTGGATTGAGGAGAATCAGAATCCAGATTTCTATAAAAGCTGTTTACTAAAATATTCTGGAATCGGAATAGAAATGGTAGTGAATCAATAAAACTGTTTACTAATTCAATAGAATCAGAGTATAAAACATTACAATTACTAAAATGGCCATGTCACAAATAAAATATTTTATGCTTATTTCTTTTAATACAATTTTATGTAATATAATAGTAAATAAAAAAAAGTGATTTATTTGTGGTTGTAGAACGCTACAGCTCCATTTCCTTCTTTGATTCTTTTTCCCTTATTCATCTCCTTCCTTTTGATTTTTTTGGTCTTGGCTTCTCTACCCTTCCAATTTCCATACATTTTCATCTCTTTCTATTTGTGCTGTCACAGTTAAGTCATATTAGTATTTTATATCACTATTACTTTTTGTCTTATTATCTCTATGAAAAAATCAATATAAAACGTTGACGTGGCTTAACTATGATCCTACATAATAGAAGGGGATGAGTGTATGAAAACTTGGAGGGCAGAGAAGTCGGGTCCGATTTTTTTCCCGTTTTTCGTATCCTCCTTCCTTGTATTTTTTTACCCTTTTTCATCTCCTCTTTCCTCTCTCTGTTTCCTGCTCCTTCGTCCTTCCTCTCTTTGATGTCCTTCCTTTGCTTTTTTTTGCTTTTTTTCATCTCCTCCTTCCTTTGATTTTTTTTTCCCATTTTTCATCTCCTTGTTCCTCTCTCTGTTTCTTGCTCCTTCGTCGGTGTGGGTTAAATTTTAGGGAAATCTCGGTGTGGGTTAGAACGTCAGATTTGGAAATAGTTTGTCAGAACCTCGGATTCTTGCAACAGTGCAAGTGCAGGCGAGCTTCTGACGGTGGCTCCAAAGTTTAATCCAATACGGTGCATGTGTAAATGGAGGGGTCCGGGTGCTGAAGTTGTAAGGGAGTCGGCGAGAGAGAGAAACAAATGGAGGGCTGAGTATTTTAAGGGTATTTTGGGTAGGAAAGTATGATTCCGGATGGAGGCTTTCACCCAGACTGATTACCACCTCCATCTCAGTATTAAATCCAATTCCTCCACATTCTAGAATTGAATTCCTATTTTCTAGTGGACCCCACCATATTTTCATTCTCAAAATTTTAAGTAAACACCGGAATCCTTTCAATCGGGAATGATTCCTTTTCATTTCATTCCAACCCCGGTTGGTAAACGCGCAATAAAAGTTATAATAATTTTATCTTTTAGATCAAATTTTAACGATACAAATTTCTTAATTTGATGGATTAGAAGGAAAAAGTCCACCTCAAAACCCCTGAACTGTATGCATGTCGGTTGTCGGTAATATCTTTACAAAAACGCAAAATGAAATATGTATACATGTTGAATGGTATTATTTGTCCTTTTCTGAAACATAGTATACATTCATATCAACCTACCCTATTTGAGGGTTAATGACAAAATAGCTTTCTGTTTTTTCTATATTCCAACGATGTTCTAAGGAAGAGAAGTAATTTATCAGAAATTGAGGGATGATTGAATTAGACTATAATGAGCTAGCCACTTATTGAACTCAACACAAATGAATTGAAACTAATAATTTTCACTTGCGAGTAAAAAATAATGCAATATTAATGCGTACCTATCCCCCACTCAATTTTATTTTTTTTAAATATGCCAAGAAAATTATATTGTTAGACCATATTTTGTAGATCAAATTAATGATGCAGCTATTGATAGTTAAATTCTTTCTGTAATAATTTAAATTTAGACATCAACTATCACATTATTTAGTTTTATAAAATATGTACTATCATCACTTTTAAAAAAAATAAAAAAAATAATCATTTTATACTCTTTCTCCTGTGAAAATATCAACTGTATGGAAAGTGGAAACACAGCCATAGAAAAGCAATATTTAATTGCTGGCTCTCACCTACTAATGTCCAAGACATTACGAGGGGCAACTATCAACCACATCCTGACAAGCATGGTATATATTTAATTTTCCAACCTCCACTACGAAGATAATGCATTTGTAGCTCATAACTTCTCCATACGAACATAATGCATTCGTCGGTGAAAGATTTGATTATTCGATTCATCTTTAATTTTTGGTTCCATTAACATGTTATGTCGTTTCTTTCAACTGTGTAGTTGTCATAACTTAGAAGCACACTATTCAACTCTTAACATGCCATGCATTTAATTATAAGATTGCTCCAAGGATACTTCGCTCGAATATATGAGAATCAATCCATATTTATGCAAAGTATGGGCAGCTTTTGAGGGTCAAATTACAAAGTAGCCGCTAACTTTGACTCCTTTATTTTCAATTTAAGAGATGCAGGCAGAGTTTAGATACAGACTTTGTGAATTCTTTTAGAATTTTGAACAAAAACATGTTCTTTTATGTCACAAATAGTAGTGTTCTAGGAATGTGTGTAAACTTAAAATAGTAGTCGACAAGATCTAAGAGCATCTCTTAATAGTCCCATAGAGATGTAAAATATGAATTGTCCAAATTTTATTTGAAGGTTGAAGTGATAATTTGAAATTGATGTCAAAAAAATTTTCATTCTAATGAGCATGTTAAATTATTATTTTATCTAAACTATATACTATAGAATTCTATTTGTTAATCAAAGACTAATGAAATCATTATTATATCGTTTTATACATAATTGTAAGCAAATATCAGGGAAAACCTGGTCATTTCGCATAAACAAGCTTTTATTATTTTTTTCTTTCCTAACCCATATCTAGGGTTCATCTAGGGTAACGTAATCTAAACACTTCAATTTTCTTACCCACTGCTTGAATCTAAAATCATTTCCTAACTTGACCGTCGGAAAACCTTTGGCCGACACACTCCCCCGGTCCTAGGCACGATTGTTTTACTGTTTTGCAACATACTTATACTCAACCACCACTCATAGAGATGCGCAAATTTAGTTCCAACCCAAACTTTGTCAACGTCACTACGACAAATGGACGTGTAGCTCGACCATCTCGACCATTTCAAACTTGAATATGGCTAGTTTCGGTCTCATATTCATCCTATTTGCATGTATTCACCACAAGCTGACAAGCCTATGCTGCATGGCATTAGTCTGTATTTAATTTGCAATCTTTTTGAACGTAATGGATGACTAATGAAGACATATGCATGTGTAGCTACTCGACCATACCAAATATTATTATATAATAATAACTCTTGGCATCTGTACTATTTAGCGCGTATGGTGAAGGCATATACATGTGTAGCTACTCGACCATACCATATATTATTATATAACTCTCGGCATCTATACTATTTACCGGGTACAGTCAACTGCTTGACTCTACGGGAGGAGAAATTAATTGCGAATTCTTCGTTCTTAATATTCAAATCTTAGACTTTTTATTTATAAATAGAAATAAATAACTACTAGACCATAGTACTAAATGACTACCTTTTAACATAAAATGAAATACTTTTTTTTTTTTACTAGAAGTTAGTATATAATTATGAGTTTAACTTCTTTTTGGGAAGTTAATATAGGCCTGGTTTGAGATTTTGGTACTTTTATAAAAACCAACTTATTAAAAAATCTGGAACATTAGATGTGTTTAGTAAAAAAAAAAAAAAGGTATTTTTTTAAACTATTGTCAATGATAGTAGAAATCGTAGAAAAGCATAAGCAATTTTTTTTAATAATTTTTTTATATTATTTTTTTATTTTTTACAGCAATGCCAAAGTAGCCCATAATTACAACTTTAACTTAGGTGATTGGCATGTCACATCCCGGCCCAGGATCTTTGCATAATGTTGCATGATGCTGCAGAGCCCAGGTAAGCTACAGTTGAGTACATTATGATGTTAGTGGTTGTGATGTGCATGGTTATGCTTGGATGCATTTGGTATTTATTATCTTGCACCCCGATGTTAGTGCTCCACCTGAGGTCAGGACCTAGCCTTCACGTGATCGTTCACCTCCCGTACCACACGCTCACCTTGGATCCAAGGCAAGTGTCAGCCTGTCGCACAAACCACATTAGGTGGTTCCGACTTGTAGGTGACTTGCGATACTTCGCATAGCCTTCACGTGATTGTAGCACTTGAGTGTACTTATTTACACCCAGCCTGTCGTGCAGACCACATTAGATGGTTCCGACTCGTGTGTAAGTTTAGAGCCGTACAAGTCACGTTAGGTGACTCCGGCTGGCATATCATTTTACATTGATTTATTTCACCTGGCTTACTTATTTCATTGCTGAGATACTCGACATGGCATATACTTGGTTTTTCACTACTCTTGAGCATGATTTCTACATACGTATGTATTACTATTTTCTGGGAAATTGTACAGGTTTTACGGTGAGGGGTTATTATTTTTGGAAAGAGAAATGGTTTTAAAAAGCTTTGTTTTTGCCCACTCACGTTTTTTGTTTTTCGCCCCTCCAGGTTTTAGTAGTTGAGTTTTCGTATCGACGAGGATTCTTGGCATATCCCAGTATAGGTGGCTACCTATGATGGTATAATCCTTATCTTACCTTACTGTACTTTACTTATGCTCTGTAATCACGTGTGAAATGGGTTCATTCCTGCTCACAACGCACTCTTATATTTAGGCACCTTTTGGTTTAAATTTATTCATATTTTCCACATCACTACACTTTATGGCTTCGTCACCTTCCAGGTGTCAGCCAGCACAGCTCGATTCAGAGTCCTAGCGGACATTCCGGGTCAGAGTATGTCATGGCAAGAGCAAGCTATTTTACTCTTATATGCTATATATAGTTAGGATTTAATAAAATTTACTTTCTTCAAGTAGTTGGTTTGGAAAGTTGTAGTGTGAAATTATTGAGTTGTTTTGTGGATCGACTGACAATTTCCAAGCACCATGATGTTAGCATCATGTTGGACGATAGGTTGCCATTGCTCTCCTTTAACTTCGCTATCGACTACTTATAATACTACTATATAAAGACATGGTCATCGTGTTGGGTGATTAAATGTAAATCAAACTTAGATGATCTTACAATTGCAACAGAACATATGACATTAAAAGTTTAATTCTAGAATTGTATTTGATTTCTTTGTATTAGCTAAATGGATATTAATTTGACACTTCGGAGCATCTTCAACTAAGATGTCAAAATCATGGGTAGAATTTCACTGTGCATATTTGACATCAAAAGTCTATCCAACTGAACTATTATTTGCTTGTTGGATTTGAAGGCTTTTTGATTAGGAGTCAAATTTGACATCAATGTCAAAATTTATTTTCATTCATTTTAATGGTGGATTGTCACATCCCGAGCTCGACTCCACTATAGCACGATATTGTCCGCTTTGGGCCCCAACCACGCCCTCACGGTTTTGTTTCTAGGAACTCGCATGAGAACTTCCCAGTGGGTCAGCCATCCTAGGATTGCTCTCGTGCGAACTCGCTTAACTTCGGAGTTCCTACAAAACCCGAAGCCAGTGAGCTCCCAAAAGGTCTCGTGCTAGGTAGATATGGGAATATACATATAAGGCTTATAGGATCCACTCTCCTGGACGATGTCGGATGTAACATGGATCCCTTATTCCACTAATATTTTGACCAATAAAAGTTTTGTTTCAATATTTTTTTAATAATTACAATAATTTAAAACTCTATATAAATAAATAAAATAACATTTGACAATTCGGTTGGAGAAATACAAAGTTTAACATAAGTCTTTATATTGCCACATCAGCCATCAATTTATAATTTAACTCTTATAATTTGACATTTCCTCCAAAGATGGTCTAAGTGACTAATATCCCTAACTTAGCAGGATCTGTCCAAAGTTTCTTGAGGCCCATGGCAAAATTCCTCTTTAATGACATATTTGTTAGACAATTTTAGTTCTAAAAAAAACTAACTAATTTCATTCATAATTAGTTTTTTCAACCTATTCCTTCTCCATATGGTCCAGTGGTATTGCTCTTCACTTATAAGTGAGAGGTTTTAGGTTCGATTCTCGCCAAAGGTGAATTTGAACCACATTATTGTTAGCCATTTTGAGGTCTAGCCCATCCCCTCTCCTTAGTGTAAATACTATCGTTTGTTAAAATTATAATAATAATAATAATAATAAATGAATCAAAAAGTTAAAAAAAAAAAAAAAAAATCCCTACTCCTTCACACTCAAAGCAATTGGAGGAAGCCAAACCCTAATAAACGCCCTCGCTATGACTACGAACTAAGAAAATCGAATTAGATTATTTGTATGACTTAAATCCAAAAATAAAGCATTACAAATTAGGGGAAAAACTCCAATAACTCATCGTCGTGTTTGGTTTAATTAATGAGTAATGCTAGGGAGACTAAATTTGTAGACTAAATTTTATAAACTAAATGACATGGAAGTTGATGATTGGATTATTACTTAAACGTCGACAAACATGCTCATTTCTTATTGGTGACACATCATTTAGTTTGCAAAATAAGTCTACAAATTTAGTCTCCCTAACATTACTCTTAATTGATTGTAAATCAAACTTAAATGATCTAACACTAATAACTACAATTAATCTTTTTTATAAAAGAAAACTACAATTAGTCAAAAACAATTTAAACAAATTTTTTTTTTAAAAAAAAAAAATGGACTACTTGGTGGTTTCATCGCGACAGTCTACTATATCCGGGGTTGGGAAAATTATAGACATTTTAGCTGCCTCCTGAGCACAATCGTGTGATTCACTAGCGCTAGCAGCACTAGGAATCTAACCCATAACGTGTTATGTGCAATACATGCCTGAAATTCATCCCCAATCACTGAATCACCATGTGGTGGTTAAATTAAACAGAATTTGAATGAGTAGAAATCCAATACCTTTAACTAATATTGAACATAGTTGCAAGTAAGGTACTCAATAGACTTGAACTTTTCATTTGGATGTAAATTCATAAAACAACCCCCTGAGTGGAATAAGACTTGGTTGTTGTTGTTGTTGTTGACTTGATTTGATTATGAGAAAGAAGAAAAAATTTAGAAGAATTTCAAAATAGTGAATCCTTGAGATTGGTAGATTGTTTAATAAGTGATGCTAGGTAAACCTTTTTACTTTTAGACCAAATTTGCAAACCATATGACGTGTCAGCAATAAGAAATGAACAGATTAATCAACACTTAAGTAATAATCATATAATTAACAACCCCGTCATATGGTCATTGGAAATTGAAAGGAAATGAAAGAAGAAAAGGATTTGTTAATTTTTTTTCATTCTTCTTTATGTTCATCTTCCCTATGCGGGAAAAAGTAGCACCTTTTCTTTTTTACTTTAGTGTCAAATTTTTTTTAACTGTTTCTTGGAATTATAACTAAAAAAAGGTTCGTAGGTCAGATTTAGATCTTATCTGTGAACAAGAAATTAGATGGGAGAGAGATTAGGGTTTTCTTCGCTAGGAAAAAGAGGGAGAGATAAGATTGTCTTTGCTGAGAAAGAGAGGCAGAGAGAGGGAGGTGGTGAAGGGTGTGAGCGCTCGATTTCATGTGGATTGAATATGTGCTTTGATTAGAGTTGACAAAGATAGTTCATCCAGAACATCTGAAGAAACCCAGATTGTGAAGGTGACTCTGTGAACAAATCCAAAACCACTGTTATAATCCATTTCCATTGCATTTTGGTTTTTATAATTCTGGGATTTGAATCCATAATGGATGGTGGTTACTAGTGGATTAGTTGAAATCGTGAAATTGGATTTTAGACATATAGGTGCAAAACTTGCGCTGGGTTTTGATAAGTTGTGTAGATTTGTAGCAGGTAGACATTGAAGTTTAACTCGATTGAAGATGAGTTAGAAATAGAAGAAATTGTTGTGGAAAAAGAGGGGGTAGATGCAAAGGATCAATCTGGTGTTGGTGCAAATTTTGATAAAGGGTATACTTTTTCCAACACTTATGCGCTTGCAGCGAAGTTTGAGATTCAGGAGCATAATAGTAAAAAGTCCAGTGACGGTAGTTATTAGGTAAGGAAACAATTTGTTTGTTGCAAACAAGGAAAAAAGAGGGTGGATGCTAATCCCAAACCCAATCAGAAAGGTATGAAGGGAGATGTTAGAACAGAGTGCAAGGCGAAACTTGACTAAATAGGGAATTGGTTGTGAAAAAGTTTGTTGTAATAGTTTTCAACGAATGACACAACCACCATATGTCAAGTGTCTCACACTTATTTAGATCACATCATTGAGTTTTGGAGGCAAAAAAGGCTATGATTAAACAATGTGCGTAGACAAATATTTCTATAATAAACAAGTGGGTTTATTGAATGTGCAAAGTGGAGGAATTGGAAATACTGGTTATCCCTCCAAGGATATGTATAATGGTGAATAGCAATTGCGAGCTCATCTAATCCGAGTATGATGTGAAAATGCTGAAAAACCATTTTGAGGATGAGAAAGAGAAAAGCGATGATTTCTATTTCAAGATGGAGATTGATGTAGGCGGACCACCTGGCAATTTCTTTTGGGATGATGCTATGTCAAGACGGGGTTATGGCCATTTTGGTGATGTGATTGTGTTCGACATCACTTTCAACACCAATGTGTATGACATGATGTTTGCTTCTTTGTTAGAAGTTAATAATCATGGCCAAGCCACGATATTGAGTTGTGCATTCTTGAAAAAATGAAAAAAAAAACTAAGCTTTGAGTGGTTGTTTGAAGAAATTCTTAAAGCTATGCTGAGTAAGCCGCCCAAAGTGATAATTACATATCAAGATGGAGCTATAGCAAAGGCGATTGACAGCAAATTTAGAACCACCTTGTATCAGTACTGCATATGGCTTATTATTAACAAATTCAATGACAATGGTTAGGTTGAGGGCATTTTCAAGGATTTGCATGAGTGCATATAGGATCTGGAAACCAAAAAAGAATTTGAGGCAAGGTGGAAGACATTGGTAGAACAACATGAATTGGTTGATAAATCATGGCCTGAAGACATTTATGATGTGAGACTCTGATTTTTGAGGGCCAGAGTAAGTCTAATCCGAATGCTGTTTCCTTAAAAGTCCAGTCAGGGACTCACCAGCTCTAAGTGGAGCTGTATTAGACAGAGCAGGGTGTCGCCATCATTTTACTCGGGGACATTTGGCGGAGTCATAGTAACTCCGCTAGATGACTATGTTTGTTCCGCAAGACACACGATCAGATCTAGATATGGGCACAATCATGTCCTAAGTCTTGGAATCTTTACAATCTACAGATAGTCGTGCGTCGCAAGTAATCACAACTTCTAAGAGGATGCAATATCTATTGACTAGATAATAGATATCCTTTTGGATTCTCTCACCTTAGAACAAGGATTCCATCCTAAAAAGGAATCTCTCCCATGGTATAAATACACCCACCTAGAGTTCACCTACGATAACGCAATCTATACACTTCAATTCTCTTGCCTACTACTTGAGTCTAAAAATTATTCAATAACCTAACCCTTAGGGAGCTTTTGGCTAGCACACCCAGTCATTTGGTCTAAAACTTGCTTATGGTTGTTTTACTGCTTTGCAAATTGCTCAGGATTATTCGGAGTTATGCTCAATCCCTTCACACGGAGGTACGCGAATTTAGTTCCAATAATTGGGGTTTTCATTGAGAGAGAACTCATATTCCTTTAGACCAAATCACTCTACCCCATGTAAGCAATGCCCAGAAGATCGCTCGTGGTAAAGCCATAGACTCGAATAGAGAAAATGCCTCATTTATCGATCAAGTTTGGGATGATTTACTGAAGATACGCAAGTCAGTAAAAGATCTTAAAAGGAACCTACAAATCAAACAAAGGTCAAAGGTCGCTGGGATGAGTAAAAGAATGAAAACTGTAGAAGACACCCTCGCCCAATTTGCAATTTTCATTGTTTGTGCTTCCCCAAGAATGACAGATCCACGCTCGGAACAATTGACCTAAAAAATCATTCTAACAGCGTATTCGACAAAACTGTAGAAGATTCTGAGACTATATCTCCTCGACACATAGACAAGAAGTTTCTTCTAAGCATCAATCGCATAAAAGGAAAACATGAGTACTTCAAAAGAGCGCAGAAT